GAGTCTTTTTCCCAATTTTAAATGAGGCTTTTTTTTTATTTAATTGAAGAGGCGTTCTTTCATTTTTTGTTTAAAACTGGGTATTTGGGTGAGGAAAGTCGTTATCACAAGAGGCATAATATTTCGGTTACTCTGTGGCGAGTGCTTTATTGAATCGCATAGGAGTAATATCTTGTGACTCGTGATCTTTACGAGCGCTTTCTACGTAAGGATTTTGTGAGGGAGGGTGGAGAAGGTGGGGCGGGTTCAGGTTGACTGATTTCAATTAATGTATTCTCCAGTCTTCACCAAAAGCTAACAGAGGCGAGCTCAATCCAGATAGTAAAAGGCCCGTAATATGATCACCTCGCGCAGCGTGATAGTAGCGAGATATCACACGGTCTTCGACCAATCAGAGCATGCCGATCTCTTTTATCACGTGAGGAATGATCTAGCTCATTTATAATTTCAATTTACAAGGGGAAGTAGTTTCATGTGTTTAATTCCCCTTAAAACCTAAAGTTAATCTTCTAAATCAGTTAGGAATTCAAACTGATTATGAATTCTATTTATTCTGCCTGTTCGTTTAATTTGCATCGTTCCTAACAGGGCACATAGGAGCTAGTTTGTATCACACTTGAAATAAACATTCTAATTTATTTATTTTTAAACCAGAAACATTCTAAATCATCAACAGGAAACACAGAACTCAGTATTTCTAAATTATCCACAGGAAACATATAACTATTTCTGTACATACGTCACATGGAGCGAAATTGTGTTAATATAATCGCCCAATGTGTAAAAAAATCAGGAGAGCTTTAAACTTTCATCGAGTATATAAATTTTTTTTTCAGTCAGTTAGGTCATACTGTTGCGTGAGTGAGGACTTCTTTTACACCGTTTAACTGTAAGATTTGAAGGTTAAATTGACTGTTTTAGCGAAAATTGATTACAAAGGAATTGTGAATTACCGTACTTTTCATTTTCTTCCCTCAGTTTCGGAGTTAGCTTATTTATTAACTGTTTCTGCGCATTTGCCGAACGCACACCGCAGGTTAATAACATTGCGGTCTAGACTACGAATCACCAGATTCCACATAGGAAAACAGTTTTGTATTCCTCCTTCTGAGAATTTATAGCAATAAAACAGTTCAACTTTGGTTGGGGTTATAACGTAAGTAGCGAACGCACTGATAACTTTTCAAACTTGAATTTCATAACCAGTGGTATCTGAAATACATGTACAAATGATTTGAAGAACAGTAATCTACAATGATATCAAACAAGGTAAATGAAGAAGGACAAAAACAATACCCGACGGTTAGGATACACGTAGGTTAAGTCTGTTTACGAGCCACGTGACCCATCAGATAGACGCTTAACTCCGGTTTCCNCACCGCCTAAAACAATGTGAAAACATTACAAAAGTCTTGATTTGTTTTGATCTGTTCCCTCTCCTCACTAAATTAAGGATTATTCTAGTAGAAGATGGAAGTAAACGCGACGGATCAGCTAAGGTAAGTGTACCTTTAACATTTTTAGTTAAAAGCCAAGAAAATTTTGATCGTCTACTCAAATCCTACCAAGGACAGACTGTCCTCGAAGTATTGAGCGTTTGCCGTGAAGTACGTTGAATAGAACGGATTTATAAACTTATGATCTCAAATTCATATGAATATAAACTTGTTTTCTTGAATTACCAAATGCTTTCCACGATAAGCACATAACAGGTAATTCAGTGCGTTGCATTGCATAATCTGGTGGTAAGTTATTTATGTGACCTTTAAACAAATTCGATATGTATGAACTTGCTTGTATCCAACGTGGGATATTGCCGGTTATTAATTTGATTTCAACGAAAGCGCCAGCGATGGTGAATCCGTATCAGGTTTTTGACCACATCAAGTCATCGCCGATTTCAATTTTCGGTAATTTTGTCGCGCTCTGATGAGTATCCTGAGTGTCCCAATGTGTACTGAAGACTTGCGTGTGATAAATAAAAAGTTCATCGGCGAAGTTAATGGGGCTTAAAATTAATCCTTGACACCCCAACATCAGTATGCAAGCTCTCCTTACTGGTCTCTATATATTTTCCATGGTACTCACGAGGAGAATTTCACTAATACTCATCAGCCTCTTGAGTTCATGATCATTTTCTCTATCCTCAAGAACTTAGAGTTTGATTCAGGGGTGATGCTGTTGGGAAAAGTTACATGTTAAACACCCCCAGGGGTTCAAGGGTCAAGGAGAGACTTTAATCTCTTCAGTGTTACGTCAAGAATGGTGTAGTTGTGCCACCTGTGTTGTTGTGTTATGAATTCAAAATGCCATGCAAATTAATACTACATTTATAAGAAAAGGTTTGCATCACATCACATTTTCCAATGACCTTTCATTGGGTGGTGGAAGTATATTCTTGAAAGTGATAGGTACTGTATCTTTCAAAGGGTGAAGAGCATTCATATTTGTTCTTTCAAATTGTTTATTGGCTCAGGATTTTTCCAAAGTAGTTTGATTTGTATTTTCCTTGGGTATTCATGTCCATTAATAAAAATAAGTGAGAGTAAATTAAGGTAAAACCATGATCCCATACAAATTTTAAACTAGAATTATAACAGATACGTGTAGAAAAATCCAAAGCCGGTGTATGTCCCCACCCCTCCCCTAGTCATCAGTATATTTGGATAACCAGTCAATCACTGGTAATTGTGAGCATTGAATTCATGACTGAATTGACAATTGTTTTTTTTTCACTCTTTTTATTATCTTTTTTAACAGTTTAGGTGATGATTCACCTACTATGGCTGAAGCTATCAAAATGATCACCAAAGCTTATGATCTCTGCTTTTCAAACAAGTTCCTTCAAGCAAAGGCAGACATAGGGCCATGGTA